GCTCCTCGCACTGCCAGGCGGGTCGACTGTAGTGGAAGGCACCTGGCAACCACCCTATCCTGCTGTATAGTCGGCGATCAACGCAGCAGTTACCAGGTGTGCAATGGCTTCGCAGTCGCTCTCCGTGCTGAAGGAGTGCTTCTCCTTGAGGCTCTTCTTGAAGGGTGTAACATGTGCACCCCTGACGTGATGATTGATGCGACACAAGAATCATGAAAGCCAACAACCGCGCAACGCAGCACTCACCAGGTGAGCAATGACCTCGCAGTCGCTCTCCGTGCTGAACGAGTGCTTCTGCTTGAGGCTCTTCTTCAGAGCCTCGTGGTTGTAGATCTCGCCGTTCACCTGCCCACGCACAAAGAAACAAACACCAACACGAATCATGAAATCACGGTCAAGGGATTTTCCTCTTATTCAGAGAGCAAATCATGAGCTTAAGGTGAACGGTAAAAATTCGGTTTCATTCATAGGCCACACGCACCGTGACGATGATCTCCCTGGTCTCGTTGTAGAGCGGCTGGTGGCCGGAAGCGGGGTCGACAATAGCGAGACGCTCGTGTGCGAGGAAGTTGTTGTTGTGCACGTGCACGCCGCTCCAGTCCGGTCCTCGATGCCTCAGCCTAGGTAATCAACAAGGATGGTTCTCGAAAACGAAAATGCTCTGAGAGCGAAAAATGCCTCGACGATAGTGATATCAGAGACTCGAATGCACAATGCAAATACAGACTTCCATTACAATGACTGAATGTCTTCGTGTGTGCTCTCAGAATGACATGCTAGGTTAGGATCAACATTGGAAGTGAAAACCAACAAAAGCGAACGTAACGGCGACCAGACGGAAGCATATTGCTTAGCACTGATCCTTGATCATTCGAGAAAACTCAACCGCGAGATGTCACTTAACGCGAAGCATTCAGAACATAAAAACACAGCAACGAACTACACGTGGTATAAGCTCACCTAGCGGAGCACTCGAGCACTCGCGCGCGCATGCCAGGCGAGTCATCGGACGAGCTCAAGCAGGCGAGAATGCCACACATTTTGACTGATCAACCGGAATCCCGGCTTGGAAGGGAAGTCACACGAAAGAAATGCGCGAGTCACACAAACTTTCCTCCGTGCGCTGAAATAGTGCACTAAATAAATGCACTGGATGACTGCAGCTCCTGAGGTGAATGCAGGAGACGAAGAACTAAGCAATCCTTCCCTGCACAGGAAGGAAGACGAGATTAGGGCAAACAGGAGCAAGGAAAGTGAGTTGGTTGACCCGTGGACAGTAATTACCAAGGTCTCCAGAGAATGCGCGTGCCGTTCCACTCTACGTTATGTTCTGGTACACAACGGTTAAACGCGGTGGCGTGGTAAAACGAAACTCCTGTGCTAGTCACCGTATCCAACCGAAGTGAGCCTTTCACCTACACATTTTTTTGCAGGAGACTGTGGAGCAGGTTGGATTGGAGTGGTGCAATCTCGAGGAACGAATAGTGGACGCTACCGTCAGCTGAGGTGTAACCTAAGGAAGCCTTCAGAAGACCGTGATTGGTTGCTATATCAGAGCGGCTCCCCTCCCCGTCAACACCAGGCAACAAAGGGGCCCAGAACAACAGTTCCCGAGGGGTTTGGCGGCGCTGCCCTATCAGGATTCACATAATTTCCCCGTGGTATTTATAAACCGAGTCATAAATACCCACGTCAGCGAAAGCTCATCCAGATCGCCCTGGGCTGCTGTTGACAAGGTTTCAAGTTCCACATCAGCAATAGCGACCGAATTTCTAATTGCGGTACAAACTGCTTCGTTGTGACGTAGAGTTCACAGCAACTAGATTCGTCAAAAAGTTCCCTAACTGTTCAGCAAGCTAAAGAAATAACAAAGAAATCCGACAATTGGCTCGACTGACAAGTAACCAGACCGCATTCCAGAGTCACTGACCAGACGTCCGCGCCGCATCTCTGGTTCAGCGGGGCCAGGCGACCCGCGCTGACGGCTCCAATCTTTTGTTCTCCAGAGAAATCAATTCAGTGCGGTCAGTCAGACAACCACCCAAACCTCCACCACTTTCGCGTGTAGTGGAATAATCACTCCTTTCCCCTTCTAGAAGTACACTGATAAACTACGGCACAAAATATTGCGCCTGTAAAGAATTTCTCCACAAACTGGGAAACTGTTGTCATTACCTTCCAAACACAGAAAACTTCTACGTTTCCGCCCTTCTCTCTGACCTGCATCTTTCGCCAAGCGTCACCTCCTCCAGCACAAATTCCATGTCGTTCTTTCTGACGGAAATTCCTGCCCTTGGCTCCTGCCACGGACAGTGGGGCCGCCATGCAACTGCAGAGATTCGGCTGTCCCTGCAGGCCTTCGCTCGACTCGTTCGTTCGCGCACAATGGGCCCCAGGAATCAGCGAAATGACAATGTCAACGAAGAATATGCTCGGAAGTCGGGAAGACATTCTAGCATTCGTGCGTGAATCTAGAGGCTGAATCGAGTCACCAGGCGGAAATTCGATCCTCGTCCTACCTAACAATTCCAGATACGAGAGCGTTCACCCGAGAAATCCAGCTTCTGTACCTCCACATGCGGGCAGTGTCGCCTCGTACCGCCACGCGGGAGGTGTTTCCGCGTAAGCGAACTCGCTAACTTCGCTCCACATGGTCACTTCGATTCAGAGCACCACTTCGCGTGTAGAATCCTACAATCCTTGAGCCGCAGCAAATTCACCATCGCGTAAACACTCACAGGCGTGAGTACGTCGCATCAACTTCTCGTTTGATACGATGAAGCCGCGAAGACCGTTCGGCACGCCAGGAATCATGGCTTGCTTCCTCCTCATCGTAGTGGTGCTAGTTTCGTTACATTCTGTTACCACTCTCGCGAAAGAGCCTTCAGTCGGCGAGCAGCTGCTGTTACCGCAAGAGAAATCGCGCGTCGTTTCGCAGAACATGGAGATCCTTCTCGCGACAGGAACGAACCAGGAATTTCTGCAGGCGGCGGAAACTGTCGGCGGAACAAAAGTCGGAACAGGCGGAAAATCCCCGAGGAAGGGCGGAAAGAGAAAGGGCAAGACAAAGAGAGAAGGGGCAGGCAAGAGTAATGGCAAGGACGCAGGGAGCAAGGGCGGAAGTGGGATAGCCGGCGGAACTGAAGCCTTTCTCGGCACTCTCAAGGGCGGCGGAAAGGGGAAAGGGAAGGGCGCGGGAAACGGGGGGCGGAGCGGGAAAAAGGGGAAGAAGGGCGCTTGGGGAATCGCGCTGCGCAGTCTGCCGATTTGGAACGCCGCCAAGTTCCAGATGAAAGCGCGCCGAGCCGTCGCGGGGTTGAAGAGGGCGACGGCGCAGGCGGGCACGGCGCGCGGGCAGGCATTGAGCCTCGTGCGCCAGTGGTTAGCAGAAGGGGCGCGCGCGGGCGCGGGCGCGGACACGCGGGATATGTGGACGCAAGTTGCGCGCGACTGCGTGCACCAGGTACGACGCGAAAGGAGATTTCAACTTGTGTGACGATTTTTGAGTTGACTCAACAATCAAGTTGCGCGCGACTGCGTGCACCAGGTACGACGCGGAAGGAAGCATTGGTGGAAAGGCGTTATCGTGAAACGCGATCTTCTGAAAGCGAGACATTATCGACTGCGAGATTGTGAGGCGACGGCGAACCCCCATCCTTATCCCCTCTCCCTTCACTTCTTTCGTCCGTCTTCCCCAAACCCCCGTCCCCCCCCCCCCCCCCCCCCCCCCACCCCCTCCTCTCCCCGGTCTTTCCCCCATTTGCCAGTTGTCGCTCTCGCAGAGCAGCTTGGATCGCGCGGCGGAGATTTTGGAGACGGGCAACGCGGACGCGTCGGACGCGGTCTTTAAACTGTCGGGCGCTGCGACGATGGCGGACAACTGTCAGGGCGCATTCGAGTTCCTGGGACGCACGGAAGGCGCGGCGGGCGGGGATGGCGGAGGGAGCGGACGGTACGGCATGACGGCGCAAGTGCGGGTGAGTTGTAGGATGGTGCGCGCAGGGGCTGTGTGTGGTGCTCACTCTCGGGAACTGAGGCGGACGGAGAGCGCAGCAGGGAGGGGTGGCGGAGGGAGCGGGGGGTACGGCATGACGGCGCAAGTGCGGGTGAGTTGCGGGGTGGTGCGCGCACGATGTCACGTGGGCATGAGCTGTCTCGCGGGCACAGCAGACGGGCAAAATATTCTCACCCCATATTCCATTCCGTATTCCTCACTGCTCTTGCCCCTCGCCCCCCGCCATGTCGTATTTGCCATCCACTGTTCGCATTAGGAAACGGCGCATTACAAGGAGCTTCCTTTGAGGCGCCTCAAAAGTCTCTCTCAATCTGTTCTTCTCGCTGACCTTGCCCCATCGGTCTCTGGTCGCATCAGGAAACAGCGGCGGAGCTTCGCGATTCCATCGTGGCGCTCCAACAGCAGACCATCGACCTGCAGCAGCGTCTTGTCTTGCTTTTTCTCACTGCCCTTGCCCCGTGCCCCTGCCGTGTCCGTGTTTGCCACATGCTACTCGCATCAGGGAACAGCGGCAGAGCTGCGTGATTCTATCGTGGCTCTCCAACAGCAGACCATCGACCTGCAGCAAATCGCGACTGCGGCTGCCTCTGCTACTGATGGTTCTGACGGTGGTGGTGATGGTGCTGATAGTGGTGATGCCGCTGCTTCTACTCCTCCTGCTTCTGCTCCTGCTACTCCTGCCCCTGCTTCTCCTGGCGACGCTGGTAATTCGGGTGGGAGTAAAAGCAGTGGCGCTTCTTCAGAGTCGTCGAATGACGTGGCACCTCCACCGCCATCCTCAACTGAGGAGGACGTGGCGACCCCAGACTTTTCAAGCGGGAGCAACCAGAGCACCAGTGAAGGGGGCCCACGTGGCAGCACTGGAGATCCGCCGCCTGCCAACGGTCAGGATGGCGCCGTGGCATCCGACGGTCGATTGCTGGCTGAATCAGGGCCGTCCGTGATGAGAGGCGTAGAGAGGGGGGTGCGAAGGAGAGGGAGGAGGATGCAGGAAGGGGTTTCTGGGGAGAGAGGGGGAGATGGGGGGGATATTGAGAAGGATGAGGGAGGGGTTGAGGGGGAACAAGCGGCAGGAGGAGAGGGAGCGGAGGGGGAAAGGGAGATGCAAGGAGAGGTGGCGGGAGAGGTGGGGGGAGACGAAGGAGGAGAAGTAGTGAGGGAGATAGTGGGAGATGAAGGGGATACGGGTTCTCAAGACCCGTATTCGGACCGTGATCCTTATGTGGGCCCCACTGAATCTTCCTCTGACGTGCCTGAAGATGTGGAAGGCCAAGCTTCTGACGTGGAAGTCCCCTCTGCTGACGTGGACGACCCCACTGCCAGCACAGAACCAGCGGAGACTGAGGGACAGAAAAGCAATCCCATTTCTCGCCCCTCCCCCTCCTCTTCCGCCGCCTCCTCCCTCCTGCAAGACAACAGCACTTCTGACCTTTCAACTACACCCTCCTCTCCCCCGCCGGCCACCCCTCCTCCTCCCCCCAAGAATCCCCCCTCGCTTCCCGCCGATTGCCCCAAGCCCACAGTGCCCCCTCCTCCAGTCCTTGCGCCTTTCTCCATCCCCCGGCTCATGCCAAACCTGGTGGTGGCACAGGACGGGTCCGGGGACTTCACTACTATCCAGGTAAAGATTGACAAACCCTGATTTGCATAATTATCTGTATTTGACAACCTCTACTTATTCAACAATATCCATTGTAACAACCAGTGTTTCTGTGATTAATTTTTTTGTGCTTTCGCCCATCTAATGTACAGGACGCGCTCCTCGCAGCTCCCAAGAAGCCCAAGGGGAGATTCGTGATTCTCGTGATGCCAGGTGTTTACAATGAACGCTTCGAAGTTGGGAAACCCAACATCACGCTCTTAGGGCTGTCGCCCGCTCTCACTATAATCACTGGAAACGCGAGTGTTGGCACCAACTACACTACATTCAATAGCGCCACTGTTGGTAAGTGCTTTACTATTCTTTGTTCTTGTGAATGAGCTTTCTCATCCATAGCAAGTTTCTGAGATCCATGATTCAGTGAATCACAGGTTGCAGAAAGGTAATAACATTCTTATCGTTCAGCCACTCTCCTCTCATCCTTCCTCCACATTCTTGCACCCTCCACCCCCACTCCCTATAACCCTTCAGCCATTGAGGGTGACTATTTCGCAGCGGTGAACATCCGGTTTGAGAACACAGCGGGCAAGATCAACAACCAGGCGGTGGCACTGAGGGTGTCAGCAGACCAATGCGCGTTTCACAACTGCGAGTTCTGGGGCTTCCAGGTGAGAAAGCATTGGATGCATGTGAATTGGTTTATGTGGAAGTCGGTTTTGATGTGGGATTCATAAGGGATGGGATGCTAGGTGGCGCGGGATCAATGGTGGTTTATGGACATTCAGGTAGTATGGGATTAGTGCATTCTATGAGGAAAATGCCTGTGCATTATTCTACCAATGCACTCTCATCCTTTGTAACATTGCTTTCTGCTGCTCAACCGCACTCGCTGAGGTTTTCTTTCCCAAACTATCCCAATAACCCCCTCCAGGATACACTCTACACCCACAGCGGCCGTCAGTACTACCGCAACTGCTTCATAACCGGCAATGTAGACTTCATCTTCGGAAATGCAGCTGCTGTTTTCGACAACTGCACGATTCAAATCCGCCAGCACACCAGCGGCTCCCCAGTATCAGCCTCCAGTCGCCAAACCCCCATCGACCCCACTGGCCTCGTCATCATGAATTCCCGGGTGGTTGGCGAAACCACCCGTTGCGTTACGGGCTTTCTGGGCCGCCCATGGAAGAGCTACGCGCGTGCCGCGGTGATAAACACATATCTCTCACCTCAAATCAGCCCGCTCGGATGGATGGATTGGAACGGGCAGGTGAACGATACGATAAGCTTTATCGAGTTCAACAATACAGGGCCGGGGGCGAACGGACCGCGCGTGCCATGGGTACGGCCGGGAATCATAGCGAATGTGACTGTAGTAAGTGACTTCTTACCGGACAAGTTCCTGTCCCCGTTTGGTGTGATTAAGGCGCTGCTCCCATGGTTGTGAGCCGCCTTGGTCAGTGGCTTGTTTGTGACATTCGCTGCAGTGTGGGTAATCAGTGGTGTGACTGAAACCATAAGTTGGTGGGTGTGACTGGCTCAGGGCAGCGTGTAAGATAGGCAGGACCACACCTGGTTGACAGGGTGACAGGATGACAGGGTGACAGGGTAACAGGGTGATATGATAGTGTGAGAGGCTGAGAGGGTGACAGGGTGATAGGGTGACAGGGTACCGGTATCAGGTTGACAGGTTGACATGGAGATAGGGTGGCAGGATCACAGTGTGATGGGATAGGGCTGTGGGTTGGGTTTTGCTCAGCTGCGAGCTATGGGGGTTCCGGACACGTGCAGTGCAGTGCAGTGCCTTTCATAGGAAGGACACTCAATCCCCAGGCATGTGCTTTGCGCAAACACAGGCAAGCAGTGGAATGCTGCAGTAGTGGATTGGAGTGCTATGTTAAACTGTATTATGTTGGTAGGCTGTAGTGGGATAGCCAATATGGGGTACAACCCCAACTAGGGTTTGCTATTTGTACCCAATTCTTCCATTCAATGCATCATTCTTGCCTAGTTCTTCTGAAATGGTATTCAGAGCAGGAGGTCCCTAGGACCTACCGACCGTTTTTTTTTTTTTTTAAGGGCCCACCACCGCTCGCATGCGGTTACCACGCTACCCCGTGCCCTAGCCTCGTAGCGCCCTCGTGCGCCCTCGTTAGCGCCCTCGTGCGCCCTCGTTAGTGCCCTCGTGCGCCCTCGTTAGTGCCCTCGCGCGCCCTCGTTAGCGCCCTCGTGCGCCTCTCGTTAGCGCCCTCGCGCGCCCTCGCTAGCGCCCTCGCGCGCCCTTGTTAGCGCCCTCGTGCGCCTCTCGTTAGCGCCCTCGCGCGCCCCTCGCAGCGTCGCCCGCCCGCCGAGCCGCCCGCTCGCAGCGTCGCCCGCCCGCCCGCTGCCCGCTTCGCAGCGTCGCCCGCCCGCCGTGCTGCCCGCTCGCAGCGTCGCCCGCCCGCCTCGCTGCCCGCTTGCAGCGTCGCCCGCCCGCCCGCTGCCCGCTTCGCAGCCCGCCCGCCGCGCTGCCCGCTCGCAGCGTCGCCCGCCCGCCTCGCTGCCCGCTTGCAGCGTCGCCCGCCCGCCCGCTGCCCGCTTCGCAGCCCGCTTGCCGCGCTGCCCGCTCGCAGCGTCGCCCGCCCGCCCGCTGCCCGCTTGCAGCGTCGCCCGCCCGCCCGCTGCCCGCTTCGCAGCCCGCCCGCCGCGCTGCCCGCTCGCCGCGTCGCCCGCCCGCCCCGCTGCCCGCTTCGCAGCCCGCCCGCCGCACTTCCCGCCTGCAGCGCCGCCTGCCCACCGCGCTGCCCGCTTCGTAGCCCGCCCCCCGCACTGCCCGCTCGCCGAGTCGCCCGCCCGCCGCGCTTCCCGCCGAGCTACCTACCTGCAGCGCTGCGGCAGCTTCCTTTGCTCAGTCGCACTGTCACTATGGCTTCCATCCGCGTGCTGTCGTTCGATGCTGAGGGCCGCCCTGTGAAGTTCGCCACTTGGCTGGATGACCTGCAGCTGTTCCTTCTGAGCGATAGCAAGGAGCATGTGTCGCTCTATGATTACGCGTCTGGTGCTGCACCTGCCCCTCCTGCCACAGCTGAGCTTAGTGTTCGTTCCCACTGGCAGACTCGTGACGCAGCTGCTCGCCTAGCCATTCGCAGTCACCTCCCGCTAGCTGAGCTCGAGCATTTTGGCGACTGCAAATCCGCTAAGGCCCTGTACGATGCTGTCGTTGCTCGCTACTCCTCGCCTGCCACAGCCGAGCTTAGCCGCCTCATGCTGCCGTACCTGTTCCCTGAGCTGTCCACCTTTGCTACAGTCGCCGATCTTATCACCCACCTTCGCACTAGTGATGCTCGCCTGCGTGCTGCCCTTCCCACCGAGTTCTGCGCTAAGAACCCCCCTCCACTGTACTGGACACTCCACTTCATAGTCACCCGACTCCCTGACACCCTCAGCTCAGTTCGAGACCACTTCCTTGCTCGCTGTCCCACTGAGCTCACAGTCGCCCTCCTAGAGGAGCAGCTGCTAGCGGCCGAAAAGAGCATTGTAGCTGTCGGTGCTGCTCGTGGCGCTCCTCGCACCCCCATCTTTGAGGGGTGTTCTCCCTCTCCCCTCGCTCCCTCCTACGCTACTGCTGCTGCTGTTGACTTCCTTGGTGCTGAGTCTGCTGGCGCTGCTTCTGCTCCTGGTGGGAGGCGCCGCACCGGCAAGGGCAAGGGGGGCAAGGGTGGCGGGGGTGGCGCTGGGGGGGGAGGAGGTGGGGGAGGTGGGGGGGGAGGCGGTGCTGGAGGGAGCGGTGGCGGGAGTGCTGGTGGGAGTGGGGTCGGCAGCGGAGGCGGGGGCGGCGGAGGGAGCGGTGGCGGTGGTGGCGGCGGCGGCGGTGGCGGCGGCGGCGGCGGCGGCGGTGGCGGCGGCGGCGGCGGCGGCGGCGGTGGCGGCGGCGGCGGTGGCGGTCGGAGCGGAGGTAGTGGTGGTGGCGGAGGTCGGAGTGGAGGCACTGGCTCGGGCCAGAGCTCCCAGCAGCAGCAGCGTCCCCAGACGACCCAGCAGCTTCGTGAGTGGCTTGCTCAGCGTGGGACGTCGGGGGGCAATGGCCGCTGTTCCTATGTCATTCGCACAGGTGACCGCAAGGGACAGACGTGTGGGAGGTTCCACACCCCGTACCGCTGCTTCTCCCGCCTTGACGACGCTTGGCGTGAGGAGATGGGCGAGGATGTTGAGCGCCCCCGCTGGGCTGAGCTCATGAGGGCTGGTGTTGATATCTTTGCTCTTGACTATGATGCTATTATTGCTGCCATGTATGCATTGACTGTTAGTGCCGAGGGAGACTGTTACTTGTGTGTGCCGCCTGACCCAGGTATAGAGCCCGCTGCCCTGGGTACTAGTGAGTCTGCTCTCTCCGGTATGGTGCCCCCTGTACTTGCTCCCTCCAGTGCTGTCCCGGCTGTTTGCGAGTCTGCTCTCTCAGGTACAGCACCCACAGAGACTGCTCTCTCAGGTACCGCACCGGCTGAGGCCTGTCACACCTTCACCCTTGACTCAGGTGCTTCCCGCTGTTTCTTTCGTGACAGTACTGAGCTCACACCGCTTCCTGCACCGGTCCCAGTCTCCTTGGCTGACCCCTCTGGGGGCCCAGTCCTTGCCCAGTCCACCACTGTGCTCCCTTGTCCGGCGGTTCCGTCTGGCTCGTTGTCGGGTTTCCACCTCCCCTCGTTCTCGACGAACCTGGTGAGCAACGCTGTCATCCAGGATCAGTGGGTTGACACCTTTACTCCTGGAGGACAGCGTGTGGCGATCTGCACGTGCTCCAGGACCGGCCGTCACCTGGCTACGTTTACCCGTCGGCCGGGGTCGAGTCTCTACACACTGACCACTGCGTCTCCTCAGGTCGCTGCTGTCGGTCAGGTGTCCGCGTCAGGTCTGGTGGCCCACGCCTGTGAGTGTCGTTCCCTGTCACACCAGACTCTTCTCTGGCACCACCGCCTGGGTCACCCCTCCTTGCCACGCCTCCGTGGCATGCACCGTCACCGCCTTGTGTCTGGTCTTCCCAGGTCTCTCCCTCCCCTCCCTGCCTCGCCTGCGCCGCCTTGCCTTCCTTGCGTCGAGGGGCGGCAGTGCGCCGCTCCTCACTCCTCCTCGTTCCCCCCGACAGAGGCTCCTCTGCAGACCCTCCACCTGGACGTGTGGGGCCCAGCCCGCGTTCGTGGCCAGGGCGGTGAGCGGTACTTTTTGCTGGTTGTCGACGACTACTCGCGTTACACCACGGTCTTCCCCTTGCGCACCAAGGGTGAGGTCCCTGCTGTTCTGATCCCTTGGATCCGCACAGTTCGTCTCCAGCTCCGCCGCCGTTTCCGGACGGATCTTCCTGTCCTGCGTCTGCACTCTGACAGAGGTGGTGAGTTTTCCTCCGATCTCTTGAGGACCTTCTGTCAGGCGGAGGGCATCGAGCAGACCTTCACGCTTCCGGACTCCCCACAGCAGAATGGGGTTGCTGAGCGCCGCATTGGCCTGGTCATGGAGGTCGCTCGTACCTCCTTGGTCCACGCGGCGGCTCCCCATTTTCTGTGGCCGTTTGCTGTCCGGTACGCCGCGCATCAGCTCAACCTCTGGCCCCGTGTCTCCTTGCCGGAGACCTCTCCCACACTGCGTTGGACGGGGGAGGTTGGCGATGCGTCGCGCTTCCGGGTGTGGGGTGCTCGTGCCCTTGTCCGCGATACGTCCGCGGACAAGCTCTCCTCCCGCACACTTCCCTGTGTCTTCCTTGGCTTTGTCCCTGACGCGCCGGGCTGGCAGTTTTACCACCCCACCTCGCGCCGGGTCTTCGCCTCTCAGGACGTCACCTTTGACGAGTCGGTCCCTTTTTACCGTCTCTTCCCCTACCGCACTGCCCCCCTCCCTCCCCCGCCGCTTTTCCTTGCTCCTGGTCCCCCTCCGGTAGACCCCCTTCCCCCTCAGGGTCCTGCTCCTTCAGGTGTCTCTCAGGTAGACCCTCCTCCCGTCGCTGAGCCTGTCGAGGTCACAGGTGACTCAGGTGCTGCTGCAGGTGGTGCTGCTGGGAGTGCTGAGCCTGGGGGTGCTGAGCCTGCGGGTGCTGGGCCTGGGAGTGCTGGGACTGCGGGTGCTGGAGCTGAGGGTACTGTGCCTGGGAGTTCGGCGCCTGGGGGTGCTGAGCCTGGGGGTGCTACGACTGGGGGTGCTGAGCCTGCGTGTACGGAGTCTGGGGGTGCTGAGCCTGGGGGTACTGCGCCTGAGGGTACTGGGCCTGGGGGTGCTGCTGCTGAGCCTACGGAGCCTGGGGTTGCTGCGTCTGGGGGTGCTCTTCCTGACGGTACTGGAGCTGCTGGAGCTGACGACACTGGAGCTGACGGTTCTGGACACGGTGGTCCTGCTGGTTCTGGAGGTGCTGGCGAGGGGAGGTCTGACGCTGCTGGGGCCTCTGGTGCTGACGTCGCCGACTTGGTCTTTGCTACTGCTGACACTGAGGCACTCGCTCGTGTGAAGTCGGAGCTGCAGAAGAGACACACCTGCACTGACCTGGGTGAACTGCGTAGCTACCTTGGCTTGCAGATCACCCGGGACAGAGCTCGCCGCACCATCACCCTGACTCAGTCACACATGGTGCAGCAGGTCCTTCAGCGCTTCGGCTTCCAGTTCTCCTCACCACAGGCCACACCTCTGGCTACCAGCCACTCGCTCTCAGCTCCACCTTCGGACGAGTCCGTAGAGCCGAGTGGCCCGTACCCAGAGCTTGTAGGCTGCCTCATGTACCTGATGACTTGCACGCGACCTGACCTCGCGTACCCACTTAGCATCCTTGCTCGTTACGTTGCGCCTGGGAGACACAGGCGAGAGCACTGGGAGGCTGCTAAGAGGGTGCTGCGTTACCTGTGCAGTACATCAGGCATGGGGCTGGTGCTTGGAGGACGCGACAGAGTTGTCCTCACTGGTCACTCGGACGCTTCTTGGGTGGACGACCTGGCTACGCAGCGGTCGTCACAGGGTTACACCTTCAGCCTTGGCTCTGGTTCTGTCTCGTGGCGGTCCACCCGCTCTTCTTCTGTTCTCGGCTCTAGTTGTGAGGCTGAGATCTACGCCACAGCCATGGCTGCACAGGAGTTACGCTGGCTCACCTACCTGCTGACTGACTTGGGAGAGCGGCCTAGTTCTCCTCCAGTTCTGTACGGTGACAACAAGGCGGCCCTTGCCTTGTGTCAGGAGCACAGACTGGAGCACAGGACGAAGCACATTGCTCTTCGCTACTTTCTTGCTCGAGAGCTTCAGCAGCGCGGTCAGCTTCGGCTTGTGTACGTGGACTCGAAGGCCAATACTGCTGATATCTTCACCAAGGCGCTCCCGCCTAGTGATCATCAGCGGCACTGTACTTCTTTAGGCCTTGTGTCCACGTTTCCTCATTTGCTTACTGCTTGACTTTCTTTGTACTGTACTTTATATATATCTTGCTGCTTGTCCTGTTCTATATCTAGCACTGCATGTGAACTGGCCTTGTGGCCTTTGCTTGTGCTCGGAGTGTGGTGACGTTGTGATCCACCCTGGGCTTTGCTTTGCTTTGCTGGACTGGTCTTGTGACCCTTTGTTCTCCCCCACTTTGCCTATGGGGGTGTGTTAAACTGTATTATGTTGGTAGGCTGTAGTGGGATAGCCAATATGGGGTACAACCCCAACTAGGGTTTGCTACTTGTACCCAATTCTTCCATTCAATGCATCATTCTTGCCTAGTTCTTCTGAAATGGTCACTATGGTAACTGCAGATGCACATGTATATTTCTGTGCTATTAGCAGTTCACTTCACATGCTTTTCTGTATTTGCCAAGACCAAGCCTTGTGCAGTTTGATAAAATTCCAGTATGGCCTCATCAATTACCAGATCATGAAAGCATAATTAGCTGGAATATGTACCCACCCAGTGCCCTGACTGCCATAGCAAGGCGTAGGAGAGAGACATACCCAAGGCGAGCAGCGGGTAGCACTGAAACAGATAACGTCTAAAACTACTAGACGGCTACAAAATTGCAGACACAGTCAGCAGTAGGAGTTCCGCAAGCCAGCTTGACACTGTGCCTGTGGAGTGAAACTCATGCAGGCATGGAGTGAGGCTCACTTCTTGCCTTTCCCCATGGTCTGCATAAACACAGGCCAATTCGCCTTGAATTCCGTCCAGCCTAACAGCGAACCTTCTCTGTTTGGATCCCAGCTGGTGGAGATAACTCCATATGAAATCCCTAATCCTGAACCGCCGAAGGTGAATAAGGACGTAAGAAGCGGCAGCCAATCCGGAACGTCCACTTTTTGGATGACCTTAAGATAGTAGAAGAGCGGGAAAAACGACAGGCCGATGAACAACGGTACACCGACGGTGAACGCGAGCCGCTTCAGAATGCGATTTGTAACCACCTCGGGAACTTCATCGTCAATGTCTTCGCGAACGGTCTTCACAACAGGTTCCTGCTTGACCTGTTCGACCGGCTTCGGCGGAGACGCGGGTTTCACGGGCTTCGTTCCGAACCCCTTCGGGGATTGCGCCAAAGCTCTTACTGACACCGCACGGCGGCAAATATAGGAGCTTCCAGGAGCAGAGCGACAGCGGGACTGCAGCAATGTCAACTGAGACGTTGACGATGTGAGGGAGCTTAGCTGACTCAGCGCCTGGACCCCCATCGCGAGCTCCTGGCAGCTCCAACAAGCTACCCTAACCTTACGAGGTTCTGACAGCTGCAGCGCAGATGATCGTCTAGTTGAATGGGAGCCCTGTGGTGTGAGGGAGGAAAATCAATTCGCGAACTGGATTGCGAACATTCAACTGGACACTGGACATCCGTGAGTGGATAAGGGCGTGGAACATCCAGCGAATCAGAAATTGTGCATTTCGGTACTCTCTAAGCGATTGAATACGATGAAGTGCAATTTTGAGAGGTTTGTTGACCGTGAGTCACCGTTTGAACACCAGAAGATGATTTGTGAGGATAAAACGTGCGAGAGTGTGAGGGGGGATCAAGTCACTGACGAAAGAGCCCCTCATTGGTCCTGTGCTGAGACGGAGACGGCTAGCCGTCAGCAAGGCAGTCAGGAACATTCCCCCTCGATGTTCCCCCCAATCAGGGTATTCCAACCAATGAGCGCCTGCTCTCTTCCCCAACCCCCAATCTCAACCTTCCCCGAGTTCCCCATATTCCACAACGATTCTCCGCCATCCCTTTCCCCAGGCGGCTCCCAAGCAATCATTCCTATCCGCCATATACCCCCCCATTCTCCACTCCCGAAATCTTTTAGCGACTCCTTCAGCGCGTCGCGTGTTCAGTCTGATGGACGGACTCAGCGTCGTCCACCTCGCGCGGCCGATTCTAGGTCTTGTTGGATTGGGCTTCCACGTCGTCATTGAATGGCTGGAACACGCTCCTGCAGGAATAATCGACTTGTTGGAGCCGAGTCGAGACAAGGCGACTCGCCGTTACCCCAACTATTTTAAACCATACTCCCCAAGGTTAATGCAATGTCAATTCGTGCAGCCCCTTTAAGCCTTTTACTCGCAGCTGCCACTCCCAAATTCTCCGATTCGCGTTTTTTAAGATGCAATGTCCATTCGCGCTGCCTCACTAAAGCTGCCTCCGCCATCTCTAAAAACCTCACCGTTTTCCACCGCGAAGGACCGCGTCGTGCTCTCAACACCTCCCCGCGTTCGACCCCGCTGCAGCAGCAGGAGCCGTGGCCGGCGCCGTCCAATCAGCAACCGCCACGTTAGCCAGCACCATCGCGCAAGCTCCGGGCGGGCTGCTGTTCAACGGCGCATCGGCGCTACGCCTGGCGCTCGTGCTCTCTCAGCACAACGGCGACTGCCCCCGCGAGCCTCGAAGTCCCCATTAGCGTGAAGAGTAAGAGAAAGGGAGGAGGGGGTGGCTATGATGCTGCACCCCCCCATCGCTCTACATCCCCATTGTTCCCCACCTCATCTCCCTCACTCCCCCATAAGTTGTCCTCCACACCTTCCTTGCCCCACTTTTTCCTTCCACTTCTTTTCCCCTCCCCATCTCCTCAGGAGTGGACGCTGGGACGAGCGACAGCTGAGAGTGGTGTGGTGCCGCACTCTACTCTCTTCCCTGCATCCTTTATTCTCTCCTCTCCCCTCTTCCCCCCCTCCCCTCTCTCCTCTCCCCTCTCCTCTCTCCTTTTTTTCTTCCCTTCTCCTCAGGGGTGGAAACTGCAATACAAGGGGGGGCGAGTGGGACGAGGAGCAGCCGAGCATGTCTCTGGTGCCGCACTCCCACAGCGACCCCGGCTGGCTGCTGACTGTCGAGCAGTACATTCTCTCTTTCGCATCCTCCACACTGTTTGCCTGGAGCTTGCAGCACATTCTGTACACCATCCTGCGAGTGATTTTTGAGAATTCTCAAACGTCCTGCGCCCTCGTCTGCAGGTCACCCTCTCTCGCACACCACTCCCCTTCTTGCTCCCAGGTTTTGGCTCTCTGCTCATTGTAAGTGCCTCTTTCCTCTGGGGTCGTAGCACAGCGTAGCACTCACAGCACAACGACACCGGCTGGCAGCTCACAATCATGTAGCACCACATTTTTTTAGGCACCTAGATTATATAAATTCCCTCCCACAAAGTCCCCAGCTGGCTACTCACAGGGGAGCAGTATTATACCAGGAGGTCACGGCTCATCCTGCCTGCACACCATCCTTCACACTCGCTTTCAGGCTCCTCCCCTTTCTGCAGGTTTCGGTTTCTGTCATTCCTCCGGGCGACAACAGTGCGGCACACAGACAAGAACGACCTGGGGTGGCTTTTCAGCAGAGTTGATGACTTCAAACCAGAGCAGGTTGTACTGTACTCAACTTTGTAGCCATACCTTATTTGAGTTTTCTTCCTGGTTACCTTGCAAGGGCAAGTGATAATTATTGTTCATGAAGGGCAATGCAGCATTGACATGTTACCTACAGAGACCCACACCAGCATGCATTTCCACTCCTCAGTAATCACAACACTGCACAAACCCCTCGGAATACACTTGCACTATACCCCTATGGTACCGTAATCCCCCGTATATAGGACCCCCCCCAAATGTAGACCCCCGGGTCTATAATACGGACCCGGGTACTCTATTCGAGTACTTCTGAGTTATAACCCCCTAAATGGCTCCTAACATTATAAGACCCCCCCCCCCCCTCACATCCTAGAGAAGTGCGGATTTTACAAAAATGCAACTGAAAATGTTCATATTCCATGTTGATTAAGAGAAATCGCATCCAGAAACGATGCCCTGCGCTGTCGTGTGAACACCAAGTGGTGTTGGTGGCCAATGGGACGAAGCTCACAGATAGGGTTCGTGATGACATGGGTTCGGCCCGTGTGGAGACCAATTCGAGTATTTTTGGGAGGAGCTAAAAACATAGCACTTCCAAATCACGTCTTTGAGCTCCAAATCTACATTCTTATAAATGTCAATATTGTTGGAAACAATGAGTCTTAAACGCCTCTGTCGTGTCGAAACATCGCACCAGAAGCGAAGCAAAGTCATATCGAGACATTCGCGAGTCAACCCTCGGAGGTTGAGAGGTTGCTGGAGGTTACGCGAAGGTCAAAGGTCAGCGACCTTTGACCTGACAAGTACAGCGCGACAGCAAGGACACATTACTGACTCGCTACAGAGCAGTTGCCCGAGTCGTCACTGTATCGAACCGCAACAGCAAAAGTAGTTATAACTGTATCCTTTCATATTCCTTGTAATCTTATATATATCCTTGTATATTCTTGCTTTAATTAACTTACTTTGCCCTCACATACTAGCGCAAGGTGGTTCACAAGTTCTTCATTAACGCTTCCGCTATTACATAGTTCCTACCAGAGTTTACCCCTGCAAAAGATCCTAAGGGCTTTTCTCAGCCCAACATGGTATGAGAGCTCACAGGGGAAACTCCATTACTATCAAGTCAACAGAAGCATTACAAGACATGGCAACACAGAAGGAAAGGAGTTCCTCTAACGGTTCTCCTGGCACTACTCCTACTCCACCTCCTGCCTCTGGCCTGCAGACAGAGGAAGGCACGGCAACAAGACCCAGAGCAACGTCTACCGAAACTCCTGCGAATCAACCTGCCAGCTTCGACCAGAGTATGATGGAGAAATTCTTCTCCTTTATGTCCTTCTACGAGCAGCACCAGCAGTCGGCACCTGCGCAGTCAAACAACAGCAACAACAACCATGAGGCGACTCCAATGAGTCTCGACGGCTCATCATATGCGCGCGGAAACCAGCAGCAACCCACCTTTGCTCCGTACGAACGCGGGTCCATCAGCTTCATGCCGCACCCGCAAGCTCCACCTGGACAAGAAAAACCACTGGATGCACTGCAAGTTCAGTCGCAATTCGCACACGTCTTGAAGCTGCAGACGTCAAGGCCCTTCGACGGCAAAGACTTCTTCACCTGGTCGTTTGAGTTCGAGCTCATGATGAAAGGCACGCAGATACTCGGCTTCTTCGACGGGTCCCTGCAATACCCAACAAACGGCACACAGTATGAGAAACAGCAGTACACGTATCAGTCAATGATGGCATATACGATTCTGCTGAGGAACGTCACACCGACTCAGCAGCAGAACATACGTTCTTACCGGGGTTACGGCAACTCCGCGGAGCTCGCATACAGCCACCTAAAGAGCCTGTATCAAGTAACAGACAGCGTAAATCAAAGCAGGTTAATGGCGCAGTTGACAACAGTTGAAATGAAACCAGGAGAGAAAGGAATGGCGTATATCAGCCGATGTCGCGAGCTGCGCGACAAGCTTCTTCGATGCGGAGGGTCGATCTCTGAAGACGCCTTCGTGACAGTCATCATCGGCGGCCTCGGTCCTCAATGGCGCGCAACAAAGGCCATCCTCCGAGCCCACGGAAGAATCTCTGAAGCAGCGCTCTGCGCCGAAATCCACGCCGAGCAGCAGGACATGGACCTGCAAGAGGAGAGGCACAAGAGAAAGACATCAGCACCGGAATTCGCATTTCACACTCAACAGCGTTACAACAACAACAACACCCGACATCAACCGAAACCCGTACCTCCCTTCTGCCACATCTGCAAGACTTCAGGACACCCGCGCACGCACTGCCCGAATCGTCAACAGTCAACAACTCCACTGCAGCGGCAACTACGACCTTCAAGCAACCAAGTCACCTCAGCGCAAGCGAATCCAACGAATCAGATCCAAGCTTCAACGACCTCAACGGGACAACCTGCACAAGGAGCAAGAAACATCGTTAGCTGCATGGCAAGACTGAGTGACTCCTGCATCACGGAATCACCACCGCACTACTCACCAGAAGAACAACTCGACGAAACGACACCTCGCCGCGAGTCACTTCAACCGAACCCGACATACGCCGCCATCGCCCAAAGCGAACCATCCGGGAAGGACACATGGTTCTTGGACAGTTGCTGCGGACAACACATGTGTTCTTCAGGACGCTTCGTGCAACGAGAGTACCAGCTTCAACGAGAAGTAGTCATCACCGTCGCCAACAATCAGAACCTGCGCACACGACGACAAGGAATCGTTCAACTTCAGTCACGAGAGACAAACGTCATTCTACAGATGTCCAAGGTTTTAATTGCAGAAGGCCTCGGCTACAACTTACTCAGCGTAAGTCAGCTGATGGCGAAGGGCATCCATCTTGAAGCAGACAGCACCACCCAAGAATTCAAGTTGTACCACGGGAGAGGAGGCCTTTACATCGGGAAGGCGGTCCTCAAGAACAACGTCTTCATCCTCGATTTTGTTCCTGACCTCGGAACCGCCGACAGCGACGCCATCGTCAACTTCACCAACTGGACACACCCTCCAGATCTTGATCCAGACTTCAGTCCCGGCGGTTTCTGGTGTTCACACACCATTCCTGAAACAGAAAGAACAAGAGCGTTAGCAACGATTCAACAATCAGCAGCAGCAGAGACAACATCGGCAGCAGCAGAGACAACATCGGCAGCAGTAGAGACAACATCGGCAGCAGCAGAGACAATATCGGCAGCAGCAGAGACAACATCGGCAGCAGCAGAGACAACAACAGCAACCAGTCGCTGGTCCCCCAACGACACCGCCCTTCATTTACGAAACGCCACCGACACCCGCGCAACAGCTCAACCCGGCACGACGTGAAGTCCACAGAAGCGCCAATATCACCGCCGGCTTTTACTTCAACTCCGATCTGTATCAACGATCACCCGGACATCGCGCCGACGAAAGCACCTGGCACGCAAGAATGGGACACCCAAGCAACACAGTGTTAAATAATACGATAAGGGCAGGATTGCTCGACAAGGACAGCCTACTATTAACCGACGGGAGAGAACTACAACGAGCACGAGGAACCTGCTTTACCTGTCCTGAAGCTGACTTACCACATCAGCCATTCCCATCTCACCACAATCCCGGGGCTCCGGTCTACGCACCTCTCGAAAAGGTGTGCAGCGACATCCTGTACAACCGCGCCCCCGGACAGAACGCGTACAACTACACCATCACGTTCATCGACGCAGCAACACGCTACGTCTGGCATCTCAACCTTCCGAGCAGGGACATGGCCTTCGAAGCCTTCGTCGCGTGGCTTCCCGTAGCAGAAAGGGAATCTGGCGCCAAACTGAAGAGTTTCCTTTCAGACGGGGGAGGAGAGTACAACCCACAGAGGTTCAAGCAGTACCTGGCTGAAAGGGGGATCAAGAGACTCATCTCGCTTCCCTACGCCCATCAACAGCAAGGTGTAGCAGAAAGAATGAACAGGACCCTACAGAACACCATGCGCAAACTGCTACGTGGCATGCGGCTACCCAACCATCAGTGGCCCGACGCAATGGACCACGCAGTGATGCTGCACAACCTGCTTTCTTCGTCCTCACTTCCGAACAACGCATCACCGCATCTGCTGTGGACAGGAAAATTGGGCAGCACAAAAATGTTGAGAGTTTTCGGCTGCATGGTACAATACTGACCCCCATCCGCACGCGCCGGCCGATTCTCCCAGCGAGCACAATGGGGACTACACCTGGGCATAAAAAAACACTACAACGCATGGAAGATTTTCGACGTCGCGACAAAAGAAACAGTGGCAGCACGTGATGTCATCTTCTACGAGCGACTCACCCTGCCAACGTACCTTGCCAACCTGGCCGAAAATCAAGACCCCACAGGTGGCTTCCGTGGAGACCGAGCCTTCGCCTCGGCAGAAGATGAAGCTGACTGGGACGAGCAGAACGTGGACAGAGCCTCGGAAGAAGCCGGACCTCTCCCCTACTGCTCAGTCGACGTACCGATGGACGAAGAAAATCCTCGCGAAAGTGTCAACGCCGAAGTCTACTACCACTTCGCCGACAACGGTTACGTTACACCTGCTGAAGTCAACACCAACGAAGCAGAACGCATAGGGCCCAACTTCGCACCTGATCCAGAAGCTGGAGACGAAGCAGTTTATCCCGAGGATCCCACACTCCCCCGCTACACACAGAGTGGGCTCCAGATACTCGGGCTCGTCACCGCGGTCCACGGCGCCACCATTCCTAAGGAGCCTGCGACAGTTCAGCAGGCTCTGGGGGGGGAGCACAGAGAAAAATGGCGCGAAGCCATGGACAAGGAGCTGAAAGCACTGGAGGAACGCAACACCTGGAAAATTGTTCCTATCGGCGTAGCACGGAACAAGACCATCCTCACCGGGAAATGGGTCTTCCGCGTGAAAACGAAAGCAGACGGCACCATCGAGAAGTTCAAAGCACGATGGGTCGTGCGAGGCTTTGACCAAGAACATGGACGGGACTTCACTGAAACTTTCGCACCGGTCAGCCGACACACCTCACTTCGAATC